TTGTTTCGATTTTGTTTACAACACGTGGCTAGTACTCCTGGCGACGTGCTGTCGGCCCCCTTTCTGCGCCGAAGCGAGCGCGCCATCGTTGATTCACTCTGCCAATATCCAATCTGCCAACCAACGTGCTAAAACATCAATGCTGTGTGACTACCTCGTCTCAGGCCGTGCTTCCTGTGCAACTGCGCGAAAGGCACCATGCGCACTCTGGGGGGTTGCGATCCAGACCAGTTGCCATGGCGAGAAAACGTCGATGGCGATTACGAAGATGCATGCAACCTCTGCGAATGACGGGTAGCATTGACAGGCGAGCTCAGGCAACGCATCCTACCAGCAGGGCTCATGTTCGATAAGAGAAGTGATGGGTCCCGCGGGCGGGCACTAATGCGCGACGTGCCTGCGGCTGGGCTGGTCGAGGACGATCGGCTTGAGCCGAGTGAAAGCATGCCTGACATAATGATGTTCGAAAGTTTGGACTTAACGCGCCCAGTGACACTAGTTTTCTGGCGCCGAAGTGAGGAGACAGCTACTCGGCATCGCAGCCCTGTGTTTTCGGCAGAATATGGCGTGACACCATCTCGAACTATGACTGTTGGCCTTCTCCACGCAATGAATCTGGGAATCGTGAAACTACATTGCACCGTGGTGGTGCGGTGGTTGATACTTAACGGGGCCTACTCTGCTCTCGCCACGCATGAAGAGATCGTCAGTAACAGCGTCTTGGCGACTGGGATGCCGTTCCATGGAACAGCGGCGGGGAGGAGGAGGGGGGGGAGGAGGGGGAGGAGGAGGAGGAGGACGACGAGGAGGAGGAGGAGGAGGAGGAGGGGGGGGAGAGGAAGAAAAGAAGCAGCAACAGCAGCAGCAGCAACAGCAAGGTGGAGGCGGAAGAGGAGGCGGATAAGCAGGGACATGACGATCAGGAGGGAAACGAGCACGATATTGAGGAAGGATAGAAGGATTTTGCGCTCTGGCATGGAATGGTATCCGCGAGGTGATGCGACACTCTCTGCTGCAATCCTACCGCGGATGGCATGCTGTTCCAGGCAAGAAACGGTTAACCGTTGCCGGCGACATTATTGTAAAAATTCTGGGGACTCGCGACCACCCGAATCTGAAGACGAAGGGTGCTGAAACGTTTGGGATCTTGCAGTTTTTTATTCAAGAATTGCGGAATTGCAGAGACCGCCTTGGCGGCGATGCTCGCAGGTACCTGCTTGCGGGCGAAGCGTTGAACGATGTAGTTTCGGAGCTTGATGCCCGCGGATGGGTTTTCCCTCGGGCCGCCCAGGACCGATGTTTCACTTTGCATAAGCGGCATCGCACTTCGATGCGAGGGGATAATATTTACACGGGAAAGCACCACCTGTTGGTGCACGGTTTCAAACAGGCTGCTAGGATGGGGAATCCGAAGTTTTTCGCTGAGTGGATCGACGGAGCGCCCAACCAAATATTGAAGCGTACTTGTAGAGATGCCAGCCAAGCCCCTTTTGAGAATTCAATCCAAACTAGAATGCAGTGCGTGTTGCGAGATCGCAAGCGCATGCGCTTAGATTCGTCCTGAAGCACGGATGTTGCGATCGGTCGGGCCACCTTGAATACCGAACCCCATCGCGTCCAATGCCATCGGCAATCGGGAAAGGAGGAAGGGCGCGGCAAGTGCAACGGGTAGCGGTCCGACATCGCCGAGGATGGCAATTCCCATCAAACAGGAATTAACACGCCCACGTTCAGGACACACTGGAAGACTTCCAGCTTGGAGTAACGGTTTGAGTCAGCGGCCTCTGCGGGGCCAAGCGAAAGTCGAGGGAGAAGGAGGAACGCGTGGGCGAGGAGGGGGAAGATGAAGACGAGAAGGAAGGGAAGGAGAACGAGGGCGAGGAAGGGAATTGGTGGAGGGCAGCTAAGATTGAAGCGGGGGAAGGACGCTCGGGGGGGGGCAGGGGGGAAGCGTAGCGCTGAAAGCGCTCGGGGGAGGCAGGGCGCGCGTGATCCAAACTGATGTTTTCGGAAGGGGGATGTCCCAAGAGTGCTGAGAGTCAGACCCTAAGCGTTGAATGTCGAAAGCCGTGCCTCCGAATCCTGAAAAACAGTGCCCCCGAATCCCTGTCTGTCTGCCTCGTCGGACTCCCTTGCTCAGCACCGCTCCCACTACGTATTCTGAATTGTCCTCCTTATTCTTGCACTGCCCCTCTAGTTCATAAGCCAGCTATCCATCCAGACTCACGTCCGTCGCCATTTTGGCTCAAGCCTACTGCGTTGGGGTCGTTGCGCGGTCCTTTTGCAACAATTCCGACGGCGTGCTAATTCTCGCCGATGTAGTTCTCGATTAATACATTGGAACAAGAACTTAAACGCGCGTTCTCAAAAACGAGATCGCAAGGACCACAGGGCAGTTGAGGAAGTGCCCGGCGCGGCCCTGGCCGGGGCGCAGGGCTAGATGCTGCTGCGGCGGGCCCGGGTGCCGGCCAGAGAGCCCCGCCATGGGCGCCGCTCGCGCAGCGCGCCGACTGGGCGCGCGAGCGGCAGCTGGGAGGTGCAGGTCCCCAGACGCTGGTCCAAGCTGCAGCTGCGCGCCGCGAGCACGCGCTGCCGCGGCCGCTGCGGACCCCTCAAGCGTCGGCACGCGGGCTTCCTGCAGGCGCCAGACGTCGGCGCCTGCCGCCAATCCCCCGCGCCAGCTGGAGCTCCAGCGAGTCGCGTTGGCGACCGGCACTCGCGCCGCGACGGTCGGCCACGGGCCCGGGCGCCGCGCCTCGTCAATTCTGGCGCCCCTCCGCGGGTCCAGTAGCAGCTATCCTGGGAAGGCCGATGCAGCGCCAGCAGCCCCGCGACGCATCCGCAGCTGGCAGCACTGGGGCTGTCCAGGGCCTCGCCCGCGCGCGACACCAGCTGCGGGGCGCTCGGCGGCGGCTGCGCGGTCGCGCGAGGTGTCATCAGGCACCGCCATGCGCCGCTGCTGCGAGGCGCGCGCACCGCCTCAAGGGCAACGCCCGCTACCCAGGCGCCAGCTGCGCGGGCCGGGCGAACAGACCAAGGGGCGCGGGAGTCCGGGGAACCTCTGCAATCTGTGGACCGGGAGCGGTCGACGTCCTCGGAGCCGCCTCGGAGGGGGAAATACCAACGCGAAGACTTCGCGCCTGCGGAGGCTGCGCGCAGCCTGCAGCCGCCAGGCGCGGCCGCCGCGCGCGCGCGTCGCGGGGCGGTGGGGCCACCTCCCCTGGGGGGGCATCTGCGGCGGGCGTGCCTGCATCGGCTGGCTCCGCAACCACCGCGCTTCCCGGTTGCCCTGCAGCCGCCGCCCAGACCCAGCGTGCCCCGCGCCACCTGGCACCGCCGGCAGCGCGCCGCGGAGCTGCTCCAGCAGAGCGACCACTGCGGCCTGCGCGGCAGGGGGCGCCGAGCCGCGAAGGCGGCATGGAGCCTTCCCCCGGGGGTGCCATGGCCGCCCGCGGGCGCGGCGGCGCCGCCAGCGGCGGCCTCGGCTTGCACAGCCGTAAGCGCCTGCTGGGCGGCCGCCTCCTCGGCCTCGCCGCGCGCTGCCTGCGCCGCCAGCGCAGCGGCCGCTTGCGCTGCCTGCTCGGCCATCTTCTGCGCGTCCACGGCGACCTGTCGCGCCTCCTGGGCCGCCGCATCCTTGTTGTGCAAGGCGCCCGCCGCGGACTGTGCTCGGACGGACGGGCGGCCCGCTCTACCTCCACGTTATCGCCGCCGCCTCCGCAGCCAGCTGCACCACGGCGATGCGGGCTCGGAGGCCTGCGCGGGGGTGCTCCCCAGCCGCCGGAGCGGGATCGCGCGCGGGGCTTCCGCCGTCGGCGGCCCCCGGCCATCGGCGCCGTCTGTGCCGCGCCCAGCTGCGCCCCCGCGGCTCGCGCCACCCATGGGCCTGAGTCCGCGCCGCGACCGGCGCCAGAGGGGGGCGCCCTGTCCCGTGGGGCGGCGCTCCTCCCACGGGGGCACGTGGCGGCCTCATGCACGGCCGCAGGCCCACTGGAAACTCGGGACGACCACCGCTCCCGTCCTCCCTGTTCTCCCGCTCTCGCTTCTCCCCCCCGCCGCGCTGCCCAAACCCGGCGGCCCATGCAGCAACCCGGCATGCAGCCGGCACCGCCTCCCCCTGCTGCGGCGGCGCGGCGGGGCTTCCTCGCGCGCGGCCCGGGCGCCGGGGCGGGCCTCTACTCGAGGTTGAGCTGATGGTCGCTTGAGCCAAACTGGCTCGAACCAGAACGGCTTGAGCCCAAATGGCTGCGGACCGAGGCCTTCGCAGATCGATCGGGCTCGAGGAATGATGCAGAAAGACGGGGTCTACAGGGCTCCACATATGATTTCTGATAATGTTGTATCCTGTTTGTTGCAGCGGCAGTGAAGTTGGCGGCACGGGAAAGGGGGTGGCGCGAGAGGGCCGGCCCTCAGGACTTCTTGGAAGGCCAGGGCCCTCGTAGAAGCGCCTGGACCTTCGTAGAAGCGCCTGGACGCTTGCGTCTGAGGAGGCTTTTCAGAAGCCGGGGGCCGGGGAGGCTCTTGGAAGTCACCTGCCTCTGTAAGGGCCCCCCCCGCCTCCTTAGCGAGCAATCGTAAGATTCGAGTAAGGCAGAACGCGGGCTGGCCGATATGTTTTGACGAGCGCGTCCCGGATTTTGACGGCCCAGATTTCGTGGGATGTTTGCAGCGGGAGCTCGCGTCAAATTTCATATTGGGTCTCGTCATTTTCATGCTGGTCTCGTCAAGCCAACCCGAGTCCCCCGCACCCGAGTCTTGCGTCTCCCCGCTCGAAGGGTGCCGCCGCCCCCCCCCCCCCGCGCCATCCCCTTGCTCGCGCCGCCACGTCAGAGTGACCCTGCGCCAGAGTGTCCTCTGGTGCGCGGCGCTTGGGAGGCGCGGGGGGGCCAAGCCCCCGCACGCGGGCCGCGGCCTGCTGCATGGCACGCAGCGATCGGCAGGCCGCGCTCCGGAGGCCACCCTTTTCCCAGGGCCGCTGCGGGGCGTGCGGCCGACAGGAGGCAGCTGCGCCCAGGAAGCGCTGGCGCAGGGGCCTGCGGAGTCCGCGAGGGCGGGGCGGCCAGAGGCGTCCGGCGATCTGCTCTTCCCAAGGTCGCTGGGCTATTTCCGCAAGGCGTTCCGGGGCCTTGCACGGGACGGCCCCCTGTGAGGAGCGCGCGCGGCAGGTGCCAGAGGCTGCGCTCGGCAGCGCAGCCTGCAGCCTGCCCGCTGCGAATTTGAACTTTGCAAGTCGCATCTACGGCGACCTGCCTGCAGTGAAGACTTCACAGACATGCTGAAGCGGTACAGCACTCCAAATTGTTTGTTGCATCGCCTGGAGACCCTCTCCCCCCCCAAAGGGTGCCTTCCTCGCCTCTCCCCTCCCCTAGGGGGCCTCCCTCGCTTCAGGCCCCGAGGCCCGCACCTCTGACCTGCAAGGGGTGGTCCTGGCAGGCAGGGCAGAGCAAGAAAGCCTTGACACCGCAATGCAACAATCGAGGACGGCTGAGCAGGAGAAGAGCGGGAGCGAAGGTGATGATGATGATGATGATGATGATGATGATGATGATGATGATGATGATGTTGATGTTGATGTTGATGTTGATGTTGATGTTGATGATGATGATGATGATGAAGGTGGTGGTGGTGATGGTGTTGATGAAGTTAATGATGATGGTTCTGCTTATGGTGCTGATGATGATGATGATGATGGTGATGAGGATGCTGATGATGATGATGATGATGATGGTGTTGTTGCTGATGATGGTGGTTATGGTGATGGTGATGATGTTGTTGGCGTTAGCGATGATGATCATAATGCTGCTGATGATGATGGTGAGGACGGTGTTTGTGTTGGTGATGTTGATTCTGATGATGGCGAGGATGAGAATGGGGATGAGGGTGATGATGATTCTGGTGCTGAAGGTAATGATGAAAATGATGATGACGATGATGTGATGTTGATTGTGATGATGATGATGTTGGTAATGTTGGTAATGCTGATGCTGCTGATGATGACGATACTGCTGCTGATGATGATCATGATGATGATGATCGTGATGATGCTGATGCTGCTTACGACGGCGATGAAGATGCTGATGCTGAGGGTGATGATGACGATGATGCGGATAATTATGATGACGTTGTTGCTGATGCTGCTGATGTTGACGTTGATGATGATGCTGATGCCGATGTTGATGGTGGTGTTGATGATGATGATGGTGCTGCTGATGGCTGAACGTGTCTGGTTGATGGAAGATTATTGATGGTTGATGGTAGATGGGCATCGTGTTGTTCATGATACTGTTGCTGCTGTTGCTGATAATGGTGACGATGATGATGGTGGTGATGATCATGATCATGATCATGATGCTGATGATGATATGATGATGATGCTGATGATGATGATGATGATGATGGCGATGATGATGATGATGATGAGGAGGAGGAGGAGGAGGAGGAGGGGGGGAGGGGTTGAGGAGGATGATGGTGATGTTGATGGCGATGATGATAATGATGTTGATGCTCATGCTGGTGATGATGATGGTGATGATGATACAGCTGCTGATGATGATGCTGCTGATGTTGATACTGATGCTGATGCTGCTGATGATGATGATTGTGATGATGCTGATGATGATAATGATAAGAATGATGATGATGATGATGATGATGATGATGATGATGATGATGATGATGATGATGATGATGATGATGATGATGATGATGATGATGATGATGCGTGACGGTTGATGGTTGATTGATGAGTGATGATTATTGGTTGATTTGATGGCGTGGAGGAGGATGTGGATGAGTTTGAGGATGAAGAGGAGGCGGGGAGGAGGACGAGAAATCAGTGTGTGTGTGTGCGTGTTTGCGTGTGCGTGTGCGTGGTCTGTTGGTGGGGGGTGGGAAGAGAGTGGGCGCGAGTGAGGGGAGGAACGAGCGAGCATGGCGGCGAGCAGCGAGGAGGGAGCAGGCGGGTGCGAGCAGGGGACGCCCCAGGGGGCTGGGAGCGGGGCGAGCGGGCAAGGGGGGCAGGAGCTGGGAGTTGGGAAGAGGGGGGCAGGAGGCGCCGGGCCAACGAGCGGAGGCCCGCTGACGGCAATGTAGGTAATGGCCAAGACCCCCTCGCACTGTCAAACAATCACGACGCGAGGTTTTGCATTATTTCCAGCCTTTACTGGGCCTCGGGGCCGTCAAAACACGATTCAGGATGAAGCACTGGCCCCGGGGAAGAGGTCGAGACCTCTGGGGGTCGACGTGGTAGAAATCACGGCGTCGTGGGTCTGGGTTCGTGGCCAACCCAATTGCAGGAAAGGGGCTTGTTCGTGCTCTCCTGCGATGTGTCCGGCGCGCGTTCGGCGTCGCGAGCACCAGCTTCCCAACACCGCCGTGAGCCAACATCGCCGTCGGCGTGGCATTGGCACGAGCGGAGGAGCCAGGGGCGGCCTAACCGACCCCTAGCAGACCTTCCCCTTCCGTGACGTCCCCCTCGCCTCGCCCCAATGACGTACGCACGCGGCCGGAGGGCGGCTCGAATGGCGAGGACGACGCCACGGAAGGGGCTATTCTGGCAGGCGTCGGTGAAGCCGCGCCCGAAGGAGGCGGGAGGCAAAGCTCAAGCAGTGGCGAAGCGTCTTGGCTCGCCTAACAATGTTCTGAGAAACTTTTGTGGTGTCCACGAAATGTTCTCAGAGCATTTCTGGCGGAGCCTGTCTTGTTTTAACACATCGGGTTCATGTTCTAAGAACATCGTTTTTGTTCTTAGAACATTTCTGGGTTCTAAGATCATGTCGTGGTAGGACTACAGGAATGCCGGGACGGTCGGTGAGCCGCGACAGAGAGCGCAGGGCGTCCGCCCCCCCCGCGCCTCCCAGCCCGGAGCACGGTGGCCCGGCGGCGGCCGCGCCCTCCGCGCCCTCCGCGGGCGCCGTGCCGTGCCCCGTGGGCGCCTCGGCATCGGGGCGGCGCCCCCCTGCGCAGGGCTCCTCTCTTTCGGTTCCTCCGGTCCTCCTCCTCCTCCTCCTCTTCCTCCTCCTCCTCCTCCTCGTCGTCCTCCTCCTCCTCCTCCTCCTCCTCCTCCTCCTCCTCCTCCTCCTCCCCCTCCCGATTCTCCTCCTCCTCCTCCGTAGCCATTTGGCTCCAGACGGCTTCTTTTGTTGCGGCTCAAGCGAGCTTAGCGCATGTTCTGATCATTCTTGATTTGTTTGTTATCGTTGATTTCTGTTTGTGGTCTCTTCATTATGGGCGAAAATTGTGGTCATCTTTCTTCTTTGGCGGGGCGGACGCTTCGCATGCTTTCCTCTGCGACAGGTCAGCATCTTTCAGATCTTAACAAAACAGTGTTCGCGACAAGACATCAGCTCCCGAGTGCCCGAGTGCAACTCGTCGGAGGTCGCAGCACATTGCAATCACCCCAGCAGTTTTATCGGCATGTTACGGAGGTGTGGGAGGATGAGTTTTGCAGGGAGTTGGACCGCCAGCTCTCGGTCTCGTTCCCAAGTTACACGGGTGGTCACACTGTGGTCGCCCCTCGGTTTGGCATGGCGCGGGCTTCTCGCACATCTCGATTGCGTCGCGAAGCTCCTGAATTTCATTCCCAAGCTGCGCAGAATGCGGTGTACTCGTCGGTGCCAGCCATTTTGGCGGAGTCTCAGCAGGTGTACGATTCTCAATTGGCCTCTTTTCAACCCCTTGAACGATCAGAATGAAACGCTTGCAAAACTGCGGAGCTTCTTGGAACGAGAGACTTCTCAGTCTGCCGGCTCTTCGTCGTCTTCGGCGTCTTCTGTTTCTGATTCGGTTTCGGCTAGCTGTGCTCATGCGGACTACATTTCCCCTGGAGCTGCGCGAGAGCTTCGCGAGCTAGGCGCCGAGGGAGTGGCAGAGGCAGTTTCGGAGTTGCAACGTCTGTATGCTGAGCTTCCTGCGAGGATCGACGATCGCATCGCTGGGGCCGTTCGCGAGTTCTACACGTCTTTCCCGACCATGATCAACCAATCAATTCAGAAAGCGGTAGCTCACTCAATGGGCTTTGCTTTGTCTGCTGGTGTGGATGATCAGATTGTGAAGTTTCTTGGTGTGGTGGAGGCTTCGAACCAGAGAGTGGATCGCATGTTCTCTGCCCGCCTGGGGCAGCTGAACGGGCAGTGCGGCGACCTCGAGTCGAAGCTCAGCCAGCTGGCCAGCAGCTTGGATGAGCACCAGGTCGAGCACCAGACCCTCGCCTCTCGCGTCGATGCTCTGGTGGCTGCTCGCGCGGGGCCCGAGGGAAAGGCAGCGGGCTCCCGTTCTGCATATTCCTCATCGTCTGGTGCTCCTGGGTCTCCCAGCGGTCTCACTGTCTGCAAATACGGCCACGCGTGCTTTCGGCGCGATTGCTCTTTCCACCACCCTGAGGGCAGGAAGATCGATGGCGATGGCCCTCTGCGGATCTCGCCGCTCGCATCGCCAATCAATTATTCTAAGTTTGAGGACATCATCTACGAGGACGCTGTGGGCGACCTTATAGATGGCATGTGTCGCCTGGCTCCCGTGCTCGATCTTCCACCTGAGCCCGATATCGATTGAAGCTTTGATTGTGTTCAGTGGACGTCCAGATTGTGATGCTGTCGTGTGCTTTGCTGGGATGTACTATTTCGGCTTCACTGACTGGGCTGTTCTTCGTTGACTCGCTCTTCTTGTTCCTTGGCTCCTTGCTCTTCTCTCTCTTCCTCATCCTGTTCGTCTCGGCGGGTGAGGTTACTATATATGGGGCTTCCGCCTTCGCTCATTCCTCGGTCCCGAGGTGCGGATTCGCTGTGTTTGCAATGTCACAGACTCTTTTGGGCACGCTCCACCTCCTCCTCCTCCTCCTCCCCCTCCTCCTCCTCCTCCTCCTCCTCCTCCTCCTCCTCCTCCTCCTCCTCCTCCTCCTCCTCCGCCTCCCCACCGACCCTCCCTCCCCCCCTCCCTCCCTCCGTCCCTGCCGCTCCCGTTCCCCGCCCCCCCACCCCCCGCAAATGCCGCCCCCACTCCAGCCCTTCAGCGGAGAACGACGTAGAGCAGGGGAGCGGAGAACGACGTAAACGTCAAGACGCGCAGGTCCGCGCGGATTTTCCGGATCGGCGCTGGACCCCTTTGCCCTGGCGCGCGGAGCGCGTCAGGGGCGGCGCCGGGAGGCGCCGC